CTCTCAGTCACCTCCTCCTCCTCCTCTCAGTCACCTCCTCCCCTGACATAGAGTGCATCCCTCCAATGCACCTCACCCGCCATCGCAGTGCATCTCTCCTTGCAATTCACCACCCTATAGGACCCCGTACATTTGGCAACTATGCATCTGTCTACAAAGAGTAGAATCACATGACCAATTTTTTTGGCGACCGCACAAAATTTAGCATTTTTCCTCACTTTAAGTCCGGGCTACAATGGTCACCGGGACAAATGGAGATGATGAATCTCTCCAACGAAGACAACGAATAGCAAAGGGAATCCTGAAAGACATTGAAGCCCTTCCCTACTCCATCCAAAACGAAAGGTTTTAGACCTAAAAACACATTAAAAGACGGAGAACATTGGACGGGTCAGAAGGATTCCGGGTTTGTATTGGTATTTAGAACTTTCAAACAATAAAACGGGGAAGGGAAGGTATATGCACAATATCTCCAATATGATCAATGTGAATGGGGGTCCCCTAACTATTAGAAGTTTAAAAAAGAAGTTTTCCCCAAAAAGGGGATCCCACCATCCTTTACACAATCTACGTAACAACTAAGTGATGAAAAAGTATAAATGTATTTATTCGGTAGAAGATAAAATTTATATATTTAGACTTTACGTACACAGAATATCAAAAAATGTATTAATCAGACAAACAGATACATGTGTATACAAAACAGAGTTGAAACTTGAGTTTTGATGACTGGGTTGAAGAGGAACACAGGTATCAGGAGGTGTAAGTGCTACCTCGGCTGGATACGATGGATGTAGCAAATCGTTGCCTTAACTAGATAGCTGTGTTCAATTAGCCGGATAGGTTTCTCCTCGATTTTAATCCACTTGATCATATAGGAAGAGGAGAGATTTTATCCTGTAAATGAGCCGAAGGATCCTCCAAGGATGTTTGTACGGTGTTCTAAGAGAAAAAGAGTTGACGGTAGTTTCACCTCGCCTAGACCAATCTCCATCCGTGTGTACGGGAGAGCCTGGTTGGTGAGGTTCAACTGTTGTTTGTTATCCATGAATTCCCCATGGGAGAGTTGATAGACTCTAAGCCGGTTCCGAAGGGTCTTATTGCAAAGTAATCAAAGGCTTTGGAAATGCAGACATGTCTCAGGCGGAGCAGTCACAAAAGGAAGAGAAAGCCTGTGCTAAACACCCGTGACGCGTTTCGCCCCTCCCACAGACGGGGCTTCCTCAGACAGGTATTGAGAACTTTTTCTCTTTCCACAGGATTAGAAATAGTCATTAAAGCGAGTCATTAACAACCTGGAGCTGCTTTGAAGGAACGTCACCCATCACAGAGCCTCCAACTCACTGACAACAGAGGTAAACCGTGTCAAGAAGATTCTAGAAGTCATCAAGGGGGTCATTGAGCTGCTGACGGGAGAGGTGAGCGGTGCCGGGAATTCTGGGACATGATCCAGGGACAGACAAGGGATGTGTCTGGGTGGTGACTGTATCATTGTGTGTGTCAGGTTCCTATAAGGTGTCAGGCCGTTACTGTCTCTGTGGAGGAGGATTTAGAAGGACACCGGGATCTCTACAAGGACGTGGTGATGGAAGGTGCCGGGAATTCTGGGACATGATCCAGGAACAGACAAGGGATGTGTCTGGGGTGTGACTGTATCATTGTGTGTGGCAGGTTCCTATAAGGTGTCAGGCCGTTACTGTCTCTGTGGAGGAGGATTTAGAAGGACACCGGGATCTCTACAAGGACGTGGTGATGGAGAATGAGCCGCCCCTCACATCACCGGGTAAGAGGAGAGAGCAGTACGGAGGGTCCACCTAGATCCCCCATCATCTGATACACACATAGAAACAATGTATTCAGTCAGTGTGTGTGTTTCCTACAGATGGATCCAGTAAGAGGAACCCACCAGAGAGATGTCCCCGTCCTCTGTATTCCCGGCATTCCACCCAGGAACATCTCACCATCCCCCACCATGATCAGGTAGACAAGATTGAGCATTTAGACCTAAAACATTCTTCTATGTGATATCTTTTAACAAGTCATATTGTGGATTTAGGATGAAGAATTTAAATACATTAAAGTTGAGATAAAAGAGGAAGAAGAAGAGACGTTGGTGAGTGGAGCTCAGCAGTCTATGGAGGAGGGGGAGATGATTGTGAAGACTAAACAGGAGGAATCTTCTCTACATATAGACACAGGTTAGTGATAATCAGTAAATGCTGAAACTGCACTTTTTTTATTTCACTTCCCGAAGTAGAAAGTATGTCTAATTACATCATGTGTTGAAGAAAACATATCTGCATCGGGTTCCCAACAAATGAGGAGGAGATACTGTACACCATATGAAGGTCCATCTCCATTCCTCAATATAACGTCATGTGACCAACAAATGAGGAGGAGATACTGTACACCATATGAAGGTCCATCTCCATTCCTCAATATAACGTCATGTGACCAACAAATGAGGAGGAGATACTGTACACCATATGAAGGTCCATCTCCATTCCCCAATATAACGTCATGTCCCCAACAAATGAGGAGGAGACACTGTACACCATATGAAGGTCCATCTCCATTATTGACATGTTATTTCTTTCCCCAGATGGACGCTATGTCGGGAATGTCTCAGACGGACATGTTATATTATCTGCAGAGTGTAAGTCAGAGGATGACGGTATAATACAATCTTCTCCTAGAGCAGATACAACAGGTCCATCCAATCCCAAGGAATCTTCTGTAAGCCATGAAGGGGTTCACACAGGAGAGAAACCATTCTCGTGTTTGGGGTGCGGGGAATCGTTCAAGATGAAATCCGAACTTCTTATACATCTCAGATCTCACACCAGTGTGACCTTTTCATGCCCAGAGTGTGGAAAATCCTTCACTAAAAAAAGAGAACTTGTCATACACCAGAAAACTCACAAGAATGAGAATCCTCTTTCGTGTTCAGATTGCGGGAAACTGTTCACTGTGAAAAAAAAACTGCTGGCACACCAGAGAATTCACAGGGCTGACCGTCCTCATTCATGTTCAGAGTGTGGGAAATGTTTCACCGAGAAAAGTAGGCTTCTAACGCACCAGAGAAGTCACACAGGGGAGCGTCCTTATCCATGTGAAGAGTGCGGGAAACGATTTACCAAGAAATGCATACTTTTATCACACCTTAGACTTCACACGGGTGAGCGTCCGTTCTCGTGTGCAGAGTGCGGGAAAAGTTTTAACCAGAAGGGAAGCCTTATTGCTCACCAGGGCAGTCACAAAGGCGAGTGGCCTTTCTCTTGTTCGGAGTGCGGGAAAAGCTTCACATGGAAAGAAAGCCTTCAGAGACACCAGAGAACTCACATGACCGAGCGTCTCTTTCCGTGTTCAGAGTGCGATAAAAGTTTTACCGAGAAGGCGAAACTTCGCCGGCACCAGAGAACTCACACAGGCGAGCGTCCTTTTGCATGTTCAGAGTGTGAAAAAAGTTTTACTCGCAAAGAACTACTTACCGAGCACCAGAGAAGTCACACGGGGGAGCGCCCTTTCTCTTGTTCGGAGTGCGCGAAAAGTTTTTCCCTTAAAGGAAATCTGATTAGACACCAGAGTACACACAGCTGATAATGCTGTTGACATCAGTTACAGGTGGACTTTGGTGGGAGGAGTCTTTCTCACCCTGAAAAGTATATTTCTCTCTTTCCGGAGAAATAACACAGGTGAACCGCCACTGGCGAGAGCCCAGTATAGTTTCACGTCTTTTGTCCAATACACCACCAAGCGTCATCATCATAAGCCCTGATGAAGTGGGATCTGTGAGCCCCCGAAACGCGTTCCTGTTTTTCCGATGAACTTTGTGGCGCTCTCATCGGCACTTCTTTCTTTGGACTATCTCGGGCCCCCACTGGTTACCCCGGACGATAGAGAGCAGCCTTGGAAGACCCAGGACTTCACGATGTTGCATCAACCCAATAGGTCATATTAATAGCTTCAATAAAAATGTTTTCCGAACCACAAAGCGGCTTATTTTGTGTATTTGTATCCCATAAACAACTCGATCTCCATGTCACTTGCAGTTATTATACAATGTCTCTGTACTATGCGTCCCGTTATTGGTTAGTGGGGGAAAAGGTACTCTAGGTATCACATGCAGTTCTCTACAGCATATACACTATATTGCCAAAAGTATTGGGCCCCTCCCACTACAAATCATTAGATTCCGGTGTTCCAGTCCCCTCCATGGCCACAGGTGTATAGGACGAGGCACCCCGGCACGCTGAAGCTTCTACAGACATTGGTGAGAGAACGGGTCGCTCTCAGGAGCTCGGTGACTACAAGCGTGGGGCCGTGATAGGTTCTCACCTGTGCAATAAGTCCGTCCGTGACATTTCCTGGCTACTAAATATTCCGCGGTCACCTGTTACTGGGATTATAACAAAGTGGAAGCAACTGGGAAGAACAGCAACTCAGCCAGGAAGTGGTCGGCCACGTCACATGACAGAGCGGGGTCAGCGCACGCTGAAGCGCACAGTGCGCAGAAGTCGCCAACTGTCTGCAGAGCCAATAGCTACAGACCTCCAAACTCCATGCGGCCTTCAGATTGGCACAACAACAGTGCGCTGAGAGCTTCATGGAATGGGTTTCCATGGCCGAGCAGCTGCATCCAAGCCGCACATCACCAAGTGCAATGCAAAGCGTGGGATGCCGTGGTGTAAAGCGCGCCGCCACCGGACTCTAGAGAAGTGGAGGCGTGGTCTCTGGAGTGACCAATCACGCTTCTCTGTCTGGCAATCCGATGGGCGTGTCTGGGTTTGGCGGTTGCCGGGGGAACGGTACTTGCCTGACTGCATTGTGCCAAATGTAAGGTTTGGTGGAGGGGGGATTATGGGGGGCGGGGGTTGTGTTTCAAGGGTTGGGCTCCGCCCCTTAGTTCCAGTGACGGGAACTCTTAAGGCATCAGCACACCAAGACATTTTGGACAATTTCATGCTCCTGACTTTGTGGGAGGAGTTTGGGGACGGCCCCTTCCTGTTCCAACATGACCGCGCACCAGTGCACAAAGCAAGGTCCATAAAGACATGGAACTCCGGAGAGATTCATTTTCAGAATATTTATTCAATTTGGTTTTAATATTTGCAACACATCCGAAGAACGAGCCAATAGGCAGCAGGCCGAATACTGAAGTGTAACGTAGGGTGGAGTTATTCAAATCACCACGAGGTGGTCATCTCACTTCATGCGAGTGGAACGCTCAGACAGGAAGTGATGTCAAAACAGGAGGTTATATAAGGTGCACACAGGAAGTTCCTGGATAGCTGTGAGTCGGGAGGAAGTAGAGAGAAGACATTGCTGGAAGTGGAAGCAGAGGAGGTAATA